TGGTGAATTTCAATGGTGAAGTCCTCTGGAAATCTTCAATAATTGTTGTTGATTGCAGATGTGTCTAGTAGTTCCCATTGATTTTGCTTGTAAAGCGAGAAGAATGGCGCTAGGCTAACCGCACCGTGACGTCACTGCTGGAAGATGGCAGGAGGGAGGGGTTACTATATTTGAGCAAAAATGGCTGCTCCCAGACTCTGTGATCGTGACGAAAATTATTGCTTTTTTTTTTTTTTTACATTTTTTTTATTGATTAACACTAAATTCATCAAATCACAGCAAACGTATTAGTTTTAGGTATAAATAATGATCCATTGATTATTCCTTACTGACCGGACTTTTCCTTTAAAGTGGATTTATTTTATTGGACTCATTGGACATCACATCAGAAAAGGCCCCATAAAGGCTCAATCTTTGGTCCTCCTCCCTGAACTACATCATTAATCTAAGGGTGTTAACTTTAGCACAACTTGCTAACACCACACCGTTCTCTATGAGACAGGCTCTATTTTTTTTTTCTTTTTAAAAATAATTAAATATTATTTTAAATAGAAATTCAAAAGTATCATCTATGTAAATCAATAGTTTATGACTCCTTAATTAAATGATTTGTTTTTTCAAAACTCTTGAAGGGAGAAAAATAAAACCTTTATTAGATGTTTAATTAAACGCATCTTATTACCTATATATTATTTAGTCTATAATATTGATGATAACATGAAATGTCTAATGCTGTTTTCACACCAAAGGCGTTATAGTCATAAAAAATATGTCAAAGTAGGAATCTGGACGCTGGATCAAACTGTGGTCCAGCTAGTCGTCGCTCTGGTTGTTTATCTGCTCTGTTCTGTAGCTTCCAGCTACAGAGCAGCTTGGCTTTATTTACTTTATGAGCTGGAAAATAGTTTTAATACGTTTTAAGCGACAAAGTCCACCTCCAAACATCCTCTGATCATCAGGATTATAATCCCACTATAATCTTCATTTCTTGTTTGGAGCATCAGACCTCCAGCATACCGCCGGAAAGCAGAGCTGGAAATCCCCGCTGAAAGCTTTCTGCTGTGGACAGCCTGTGGGGGATTTCCTGCTGCCGTACGTAGCGGCTGGAAGTGAATAGAAAAAGTTAAGATTTGTGCGAAAAACTTACGACTGAGTATTAGGTTAGAGATTAGCCAGGTTAGAGATTTTTTTTATTTCGACAATAAAGTCATGACATTACGAGAAAAAAGTTGTAACATTATGAGAATATGTTGTAATATCATTAAAGATTTCCTTATTTGTCAAACCGATGCCAAAGTATAACTTCACATGATGCTCCACATTCCTCATTCTAGGGAAGACAGTGCTTCTTTGGAAGGGTTGTTATAAAATACAACTTTATTCTCGTAATTTAAGAAATGTATTCTCTTAATATTTCGATTTTATTCTCTTAATTCTATAATTATTCTCGTTACTTTTTTCTTGTAATATTATGACTTTATTCTCATAATTTTACAACATTATTCTAGTAATTTTATGACTTTATTCTCGTAATTTTACGACTTTATTCTCGAAATAGAAGAAAAAAAAATCTCTAGCCTGGTCCAAGTACTCCATCGTATGCAAGAACCAGAATATACAATCGAATATTTTCCATCAACAGGTTTTCTCAACATTTCCAGTTAATTCTGGTATTTATAAACTGTTTCTCCATAGTTCATAAAAATGTTTTAGTGCAGCAATAATGATCAGAGCTGCTCTCTGTTCCTTCTACATAACAATCAATTCTTGCAACTTTATTCTAACCTTTGGAGTTTAACTCCTTGATATTTAGTTATTTTTCCATCTGCAGAATGTCTGCAGAAGCGATGACAGCTTGCAGGTAGAGTCTGTCTCCCCATAAAAACTCCTGGATCAACTTTTCTGATTGGCTGACGCTCCAGCATCCAGAGTCGGATTTTCTGACTTCCAGCTCCTCACGTCATCCTCCTTTAAACATTGCATGTAAACCAGCTGCTTTGAGGTCCAGAACGCGCCCGTTGTGAACGCAGCATAAAACTTTCAGAGATTTTCAGATGCCATTTAAAGATGCCCAGTCACATACTTAGCATATACCAAAAGCACACAATAATCATGTTTATGTTCAAATCAAACTGTATTTAAATGTAATAAATTTACAGCATTGCTGCTGTAGTTGGAGCACAATTAAGAGTGTTATCTAATGACGGATTCACAGCAATTAGCCTCAAGGTGCTTTGCTAACATTACCTGCGACAGCCAGGAGGAAAATAATATCTCAACAGATGGGATTTCCTGAAAACAACCAATCAAAGGCAGTTTATTTTGGCCATTGTTTATTTTCCTCAAAGGTCATAACCGCTGTAAAAGCACACAGAGACAGATCCACACACAAGAGGGAGAAAAGCTAGGGGAAAATGAAACTCTGGCCATAAGCGCAGATTAGGTGCAAGCACCCATGCTTGTTACATATTGGGGTCTCATGGTATCGATTCTGCACATGTAAGACTTTCAAGATGTCAGGCACCCAAAATTCTGGACCCAGAATTCAAGCAAAAATCACAGGGACATATCAAGACAAGCATTGTTAAAAAATCTGCGCTCATGCTTAACAGCGGGGAGGAGGTTAACTGGATCCTCTGTAGAAATAGAAACTCAGGTTAGTGACTTTGAAAGGTCAAACAGGCCACGACTAAGAGCATGTAAGGCTACGTTCACACTGCAGGCCTTAATGCTCAATTCCGATTTTTCGTGAAATCGGATTTTTTTGCGTGTCCGTTCACACTTCCAAGTATATGCAACTTGTATGTGATCTACTGTGTGAACTGAAAGCGTTCAACCGAAGTGTCCCGCATGCGCACTCGAGGACGCGATGACGTCACATGTAGCAAGCGTCCTCAGTGTTTGCGGAAGTAAACATGACTCGTAATACCGCAGCGTATATTGCGTTCTTTAAGTTCTTCTCCAACAGGAGCAGGCACATTATGAACGAAATCTTTTTAAGAAGATCAAAAAGAAAGACCATCCCCCGGTTCCGGTAAGACCCTTCGAGTTTGGTCTGAATCGAGCTATCTTTCCAAATATGAATTAAGTCAGCAACCTCACTTTCTCTCCATTGACTGCTCTCTGTGTTATCTTCCGCCATGGTTGTTAGTTTTTCCTGCCTTCGCTTAGTAGGACGCAGATTAGTAACGTTTAGTAACATTTGTCAAGTATCAATGACGTGTAGGTCGGATGAATGCGACCTGGCCGTACAGACACAGGTCGGATTTGAAAAAATCCGATCTTTGTCGTTCAGACTGTCATAAAAAGATCAGATACAGGTCAGAGATGGGCAAAAAAATCGGAATTGGGTCACTTCAGGCTGCAGTGTGAACGTACACTGCAAAAACGATCAAGAAATAAGTAAAAATTTCTTAAATTAAGTGTATTTATTCTTATTTTAAGTAGGTAAATAAGATAGTTTGCCAATGGAATGAGTATTTTTACTCTTAAAATAAGATAATTACATAATATGCACTTGAAATAAGACAATGCAATTATGTTTTTCTTATTTTAAGTGTAAATAGTCTTGTTCCATTGGCAAAATGTCTCTTTTACCTCCTCAATCCAAGAACAAATGCACTTATTTTAAGAAAAAATTACTTATCCAGATTTCGATTTTTTCTAGTGTAGCCTTAGTCACTAACCTGCTTCTGAGTTCAGTCTTGAGTAGAATCCAGATAGGTGTTTCCTCCACAGCTCCATAACCAGAGTTCTGAGTGAAGAGCTGAGCAGGTTGATGAGAAGAAGCCAGAAGGTGCTCAGGAGCATAAATATCTGTGGGGGGAAACCCAAAGCTGGAGTCGTTGCAGAAAAAGTTTTCAAGGCCAGAAGATCAGAGAGCCGTAGCGGTACACAGTAAATGTTGTAGTGTTAAAGAAACACTTTGAGAGTACATTTGGTCCCACACTTATTCAGAGTGGAACCAAACGTACTCTAGAGTGTTACTTTAACACTGCAACATTTACTGTGTACCAGAGGAGAATCCAGGCCAAGGTCAGAAAACAGGTCCAAGTTCGGTAAACCGGCAGAATCCAGGAATCAGTCCAGAACACATCAGGCTGGCAGAGTAAAACAGCGGCAAAGCAAAACTTGGAAGTCCAACAACAGAAAAAGGTCAGGATAAGAAAATCAGAAAGTAACAGAATTGCTAGTTACTCTCACACTCAGCTGGAATAATCTGCCACAGATGGCAGGAAAACAGGCAGCTTAAATAGCAGCAGCAAACAGGTGGATCAGATGATAGACAGGTGAATGGAATGAGCATTAAGCCAGCCATCAGGGCTAAGGTAATGACACAAAATTCACCTGGGGAATAGTTTATCCGTGTGTTTTAAGTAAATCAACTTGTATGAGCATTAGTTATGCGTGTAAACGTTAAGCAGAATTCTGACTTCAGACAAAATAATGAAGTTAACAAACAAATAGAGCAAAAACAAATCAGAAAAGACAGAAATAATATTTAATAAGCTAAAAGGGGAATCATAACTTCAGAAAGTCTTTGTATGCAACCAGAGCGAGCTTTTGGTGCAGATATCTGTAAAGTCATAGTCTGTGACTGGGCCCCTTTAAGGATCTCAATAGATAATAATGATAATTAATCAATTTCCGAATATTACATTTTG